CTAGTGTCTGTAATTCAACAAGTTCATTAAATTTCAAGAGTTTAGAGTTAAAAAATAAGATATTTGTGTGCTCTCTATAACCTGTTTTATGTATGTTTCTGATGGCTCTTTTCTGTAGGAGATATAATGACCTTGTGTTGCTTTGGTATGTGTTTCCCCACACCTCCACACAGTAGTTGATGTAGGGTAACACAAGTGCACAATACAAAGTTCTCAATGCCTTATACTCTAACACATGTTTTACCTTATTTAATACAAAAATACTCTTGGACATCTTTTTTTGTATGTGTGAGATATGTGATTTCTAAGTCAACCCTTTTACATGCATGCCAAGTTATTGGCTAATAAGTTGTTTGTGTTAACAAGCTAAACAGGTGTACCTAATAAAGTGGCCAGAGAATATATGTATGTGTGTGTGTGTGTGTGTGTGTGTGTGTGTGTGTACTCCCACAGTTGATGATGTGCAACAGAACGAAAGACATTTACAAAATCTAAGAATATCACATGCAAATCTCTTTTTCCCCTCTGTGTGCTCCAAGGACACAAAAAACTACGTGTTACGCCTCAATCTGTCCAACATCAACAGAATATTTCTCCTGAGGAACAAAGATCTTCCTGCTCAGGACCTAAGTTGCTTCCTCCAGGATTCTCTAACAAGCCTCCACAAGACACATTTGGAGCATCTTTATCTGGCCTTTAGGAGACATTATGCTCAGGGGCTGACGCTGACCTCGCCTGCAGATCTGCACCTCCTTCAAAGAGGGGCCTTTCACATCGAGAGGAATCAGTGAGCATGAAAATAATGAGACTGAAACCTCTGTAGTGATTTATATTTCACTAAAAATCTACAAAAGGTGGAGGAAGAAATTATTCATACAACATCAGAGCAGAAAAACTGAAGTGGAACATGTGCTGCTGTGTGGAAATGGAGCGTTACTGTCTTTAGGTCCCACTTAAACTCAACCTGGACCTCCATTATAAGTTAAGTGGGGTTCATTTGTATCCATAGCAACAACATTTTTAGGCATGTGAATACTCTGTAATTGCACATGTTGCTGTTTCCTGCCCAGTGAGCTCCCAGTGGACTGAAAGAGCAGCTCTGTCTCCAGGTCTCTTTTTTCAGGAGTGAAAGCGAGCGGGCAGAGAGACGTTAAAGGGGCGAGGCGTGATACACTCAAATGTTTCAGGAGCTCATTAAAGAGCCCAGAGGTGACGGCAGGACAACACAGCAGATAATCATGTGAAATGTACTAAAGCACTATACTTAAGAACAAATTTAAGGTACTTTACTTGAGTATTAAATGCTATTATTTACTTCTATTCCACTACACCTCAGAGATAAATTCATAGACTATATAGAATAACGGACGTAGTTACCGTGACGTCACCCATTAATTTGTGTGTTTTCAAAGTTTGGTATTAGTAGCCTACTTTTCCTAATATGTTTTATGGGGATCACTTTAGAGGTGTTGATGGTTAAAAACACTACACAGAGCAATAAAGTTATTCTGAGCTCAGCACTGCGTCAGGTCAGCACATACAATATGAACACAGTAGTGTATTTCATTTGGGAAACACTGATTCAAGTGTGATTATTCAAAAGACTCCACTGGCTGATCTCCAGGATCATTATCTCATTTCTACCAAAGTGGGTGGAACGGCACACACCCTTTTACTATACCTCCACCCCCTTTCCTTCCTCGCCCTTGAGTCAAGTATGCCATGATGACCCTGGTTAGGTTTCCTTCAAAGTAAAAGCATAACATTTGCCCAAAATCACACTACTCCTACTAGTACTACTGCTGCTGCTGTGATTAAGAAGATTAAGAAGAATAAGATTTTGGGCTGCTAACCCTTCACCCTGATTATGACCATGATAACTTCTATGAAGGGGCAGCATGTGGTCTCCCCAGAGTGAGACAATGTGTTTACTGAGTGATCTATGGCATGCATTGAGAGCACGGTCTCACTCTGAAGTCGTCTAAATCAGGCGCTTGAGCAGTGACTTGAGTCATCAAAAACCAACAAAAAAAAGGCGTCCTTTAAAGCCACAGTGTGCAGGAATTTCTCCCATCTAAAGTTGAGATCGTATATTGCATTCAAACAGATAGCGCACTCTAGCGCCTCACTGTTTCAAACACTTATTGCAACACTGGTAGCCGCTGTGTACCAAAAAGCTATGATAACATTGATGAAACCATGTCATCCGATACTTCATGGAGTATTCATTCAGGCTCCTACACAGACACACGCCACGCGAGCTGACAAACCCCCTCCTCACCATGCTGGCTGTGTTTACAACGTAGGACTGTTGGGGCAGCTGTAAATCAAAACAAACCAATCACGTCTTGTCTTTTGACAACTGACAAGTGGCTCAACCTCACACACCTCATCCCTCTCCTCTCAACACTGCGCCACTAACAGTGGCTAACAGCTGTTAGCGGTGTTAGCTGTAATTGCATTACTGTTCTCCTTCAGCAGCTCTCTCCACCTGGGAAAGGCTACCCTGATGTTGACCCTCATTTTTTGAATTTGCCGGTCACGTTGCCTTTTCGATTCCCTTTTGTGCTTTCTTGGCGACGAGGATTCCGTCTCCCGTGATGCTGCATATGCATGACCCTGCATTATGCTCAAAGAGTGGGACTTTGTTATGCTGAATTTGTTATGCTGCAGTAGTGCTGGGGTTGGCTTCTCAGTCACGCAGCGCTGACCTGGATCTCAGCGAAAACGTTGAAGGCGGGGCTGTATGTCCCTTGCTGGCGGATGTATTCTCAAGATGGCGAAACGTTATGGAACCCCCCAGACAACTTACCCGCACAATAAACAAACAAATCTGAAATTCTCCTTTTACTAGAATAAGTCAGATTATTGGTGGAGTTAATGATACACCAATGATGACATATTTATGAATGCAGACATTGATTTTTGGCAATAAACAACTGAAAATGTTTCACACTGTCCCTCTAATGTCGGTTGCTGTTATAGGTTAACAGCACTAGGTGGTGTCAGGGGGAGACACGACGGGACAAGGATGAAAGTTAAGACGACAAAAGTCCGAGAGGGGCGGGCAATTAGCTACAGAGACCAAAACTGTTTTTTGCTCCAGGCTGTAAACATGTTTATTTCTGCTCTAAAGTTGAACATCTTAATATGAGGGTCAGTGAGGACTGATTCGCTCTTGGAGTCTGCCTCAAGTGGACATTAGAGGAGCTGCAGTTTGTGGCACTTCAGCGTTGCCTCCATTAATCAGCCCTGAGGACTGCCACTCGGTGGAATCTAGGCCTCAGTCTAATCTGTATCCTGGGCCTTCAGCACGTGGTCTGGTACCTAAAGGCCAGTGATTTTCAAACTTGTTGTACCCAAAGCACAGCAAAGGCCAAGCCAACATCTCAAGGTGCACCTGTATTTATATCTGTGCACAATAGCCTGTGTTATCACTCTTACCATGACACTGCACAATAAAGAAAGGAAGCTTTCATGATTCTGTCTACTGATCCTGACTTTAGTTGTTCTTTTATCTCTGACATGTGTTTGGATGTTACATACTGTACCTTGACATGTTTCGGTGGAAACTTCCGCCTTCCTCAGAAGTGTCACTTGGTGGTAGTTGTGACGCGTCTTTATCAGCTGATCTGTCAATCAGCTGATATTAGGGAGGCGTGACACCGATAACACCAGCTGCTGTCCATTCGCCGCCTCTCCGGGACGAAACATGTCAAGGTATATAACATCCTAACACATGTCTGAGATAAAAGAACAACTAAAGTCATTATCAGAAACTGAAGACATAATGAACACCACTGAACTGTCTACTGATCCGTTTTATTTCTCTTTTCTTTCAGCTGTAGGTCGTCTTCACTTGTTCTTTGGTATAATTTGCTCCATACAGTAAAGCGATCGATCGTCCCACTCACGGCTTTCCTCTTTTAAATGTTATCATCCCTCACACTGGCTGCCAGTAGATGAGATGTGTCACACACTTAAAATTCCCACATGCACAACAGTGACAAATAGGTTCCTTATTCCCTAAGGTTTTTTAAATTAAATTACATTTTTTTAGGTAGAGTTTGCCTCTTTATTAGGAAATGGGTGCGCACAACATACTGATGCAGTCAATTAAAAATTAATTCATAACTTTTTGCATAGGTCCAGTTGAATATTGCAATAATAATTTGAGGTTATCACAAAATCCCAGGGCACAGCCTTTTAGGAACCACTGCCTTTGGCAACCCTGTCTCACTCCGAAGTCGTTGAAAACTGGCACTTGGTCAGTGACTTCAGGGGTTAGACACTAACAAAAAAGTCATCCTTTCACGCCAGTATGATACCTGGCTGGTCGCCATTATTGTTTAATGGTGCCTAGTGGGAGGACACATCAAAAGCAAAGGCGGCAGAAGGTCAAGTAGGGAGGGAGAGGTGATGGATGGGTCCAGCAACCACTGACTTTCACCTGGGAGGACAGTGTTCACTTCATGTAAGATTGTAAAGCCAAACCCCGTTCTTTCTTCCTAGACCCAACACATGGTTATGTGTGTTTGTTGTTAAAAGAAAAACATCAATTTGCGATGTTGCACCAGCATAAGTCAAGACTGCAGACATCCACCTCAGTTTGATATGCAGCTCAGTTTTAATACAACATGTTCTTTCAGCTGAGGGGTCCTTGGTCTGTAGTTCAAGGTAAAACATGTCCATATTATCTTTTACATTTACAGTGAATCAGTGAATATGATGCCTGATTCTTTACAAACACCATTCAATTTGCAGCTTTCCAAAGAGCTGGACGCTCACTAAAACAGTTCTCTGACGTCTTCTCTCATCACATGATCTTTTCTTTAACCTGCAACACACTGTGATCAACTCAACCATCTTTGTGAAAAGTTTGAAGTCTGCTTTTATTTTGAAAGCACCCCTTCCTTCAGTGTGAGCAGCTTGACGGCGGTGTCTCCCTACTGAGGTGTGACCATCAGACCTGGTCAGAGTCTCACTCCTGCGCACACAGCCGAGCATCCTGAACTCTGCTGCTGCTGCTGCTGCTGCTGCTGCTGCTCACTGGGACTTTAAAACTCACGCCCTGGAGCTCAGCCGAGCCAAAAACACACCACAGAAGAAGAGTTTGACTTTGACAGGAGCGAAGATTTTTCTGCAACAGGTGGGTGGTTTACTTTGTTTCATTGTTTGGTTTGGTTTTGGCAACTTTTACAAAGAAATGTGAAACTTATGATCAGAACTCTCATCTCCCTCTGTGCATGTGTGCTTTATTAAAACTGTGTTTTAACAAAATATTTGATTTGCTGCTGCTGGACAATCAGCAAATCAGTATAATGTCTGAGCAAAACAAACCAAATCTTTCATGAACAGTCTGCCTTCTCTCCAATATAATGGAACTAGATGACACTCAGCTTGTGGTGCTCAAAGTGCCAAAAAATACATTTAAAGAACTCAACAGCAATCACCAAAATTTTCCAGTTTGTGTCCTTATGCCAAAAAAAGACAATATTCCTACTAAGCTGTTTACATCGCTGATGAAAGTTAATATTCCACTAACATCCCTGCATACTCTGAATAACGTGCCTCAACATGATGTTTGTCATGTCAAACAGCTGGAGCTGCTTCATTTTGGTTCTTTGGTTCAAAACAGGATTTTTTTCCAACTCCAGAAGTTTCCAACTGGTCTTGTTTGACTGTGTGAACTCAGCCTCCCTCTTCCTTCAACCACGACCACCAAGGGTCAGTGTTGTGATATTTGCACATATCCAAAAACCTGCTGATACCCAAGTCTTTCATAATAGTTAAAAGCAGGTGTGTGTTTCTTCTTCCAAACAGAAATGTGGGCTTTTCTGTTGCAGCCTTGCAAACTCGCAGCCTTGCGAGTTGGTTTGTGTACAACCAACCTGGTCTCACTCTGAAGTCGTCAAAATCTGACGCTTGGGCAGTGACATGTGGTGTCAGACACCGACGAAAAAAGCCATCCTTTCACATTGGCACGATACATGGCAGGTCGGTGTTATAGTTTAATAGCGCTGGGCGGTATCAGAGGGGAACGCGGCAGGACAAGAATGAAAGATGAAAGTCTGAGGAGGGCGAGCGAGAGTGAAAGCCAAACCTTGAGACTTGGGTTGGGAACCAGAGGGTCGCCGGCTCAAGCCCCCATATGAAGTATGGAGCGTGGACTGGTAGCTGGATAGGTGTCAGCTTGCCTCCTGGACCCTTGAGCAAGGCAACTGGTTACGGCACCTGTCCATGTGCAGCCCCCTCACTCTGACATCTCTCCATTTAATGCATGTATAGATCCTGTCTGTGTGCGTGCGTGCGTGTGTGTGTGTACTTCAGGCCTGTGTGTGTATGATGATAGAGTGAAAAAATTGAATTTCCCCTCAGGGATGAATAAAGTATTTCTTCTTCTTGTGAGCAGTTTCATGTAGGAACTATTTTTTTCAGTCGTATCACTGCATAGAAGGACGTGTGCATCTACTGATGGTTGACAGGCTCGTGCTTGTGACAGTGTGAAATATAAACATAAATGGCGTCCTCTTCAGCTGAGCTGTAACGTTAGCTAGCTCAGTGGGTGAGCTAGCAGTAGATGCACACTTCATGTAGATGCACGGTTGGCGGGTGTAGTTTGGTAAAAAGAAAATAGTTCCTACGTGAAACTGCTCACAACAAAGTCTGTGGATTATCTTGAGCACCACAAGCCGAGTGCCGTTTAGTTCCATTATATTGGAGAGAAGTCAGACATCTCTATGCTCGACATCTCCAACACTCTGCAACTCACACCAAAACTATCTTGACTGATAGATAGCACCACAGGTTAGAGGAAAATATCAAAATTTCAAATTATATCCTTAACATGATATGACAGTGCATTGTGTTCAGCTTTCCACAGGAGCTAAAGTATCAGAAAGTCCCTGAAAGTCAGTATAACTCTCTGTGGAGTAACACAGACTCTCATATTTAAGTTGATTATATTATGCAGCAGATTTAAAAACAGCTGGTGTTGATAAAAAAAAAACTGCAGCAAGTCAATAAATGTTTAAATTTGACAACAAGTCATCAAGATATTCTACATCCCTAACAGAAATATTACAGTGACTTCTTTCCAGTAAGGGGGCGTGCCTCTACTGGACATAATTAAACTGAAGTTATCAAACCTGAGTGATTAGATGAGATGTGCGCCTCATGTAGAGAGCATATTTTTTTAAAAGGACAGAGGGACAGGTGAGGATCACAGCCCTGTCACTGCCACACCCTCGCCCCTCGACTCCTCCCATCATGTCTCACCCTTTTCCGAGTCCCGGGCCTGAATGTCAGCAGTGTTGAGACGTGATGGAAAGGCTGCTGTTTACATAGGCGCTGGTGTCGTCAGAGCTGCCATAATGCAGGCGTCAGGGGGAACAGATCTGGTGTTATGGGCCCCGGTCTCTCTGGGAGTGGACCTCACCAGCAGCTGAATGAGCTCAGTGTGGAGCCGGCCACCAGCACGGCTCACACACAACTCAGCTGCTAATGAACTGTCACTTAGTCCAAACAGCGCGGCTCAGTGCTGAAGAGACACTCCCTCAGGTTTAAACATTCTTTAAAGGGAAGGTAAAGATGCTGGAAACTGAAGTTAAACTCTGACGTCCAGTTAGAGAACATACACTGATGAAGAGTTTATATTCAGCTGCTGTACTGATGTTTTTCTTTCCTTCAGTAGTAACTATTCCAACAGAGATAAAACCAGTTTAAAGGTCCAGAGTGTAGGATTTAGGGGCATATATTAGCAGAAATGAAATATAATAACCATGTTTTCTTTATTGTATAATCACCTGAAAATAAGAATCATTGTGTTTCCGTTACCTTAGAATGAGACGTTTATATCTACATAGGGAGCAGGTCCTCGTCTACGGAGATCACTATGTTGCACGGCCATGTTTCTACAGTAGCCCAGAATAGGCAAACTTAACACTTGGTGAAGCTAGAGAGATTAGCGTTTTTGTGACGGCAACCGTAGTTCATGGCCCTTTTCGAAAAAGAGCTTCTTTTTTAAATGTAAAACTGCTTTATTATCTCATTCATGAAACAGTGCATAGGATCCAGACTAAAAATGTACATACGAACGAAAGTCAAAAACAGCGTGCATGAAAAAATATTTGACAAATTTCTACAATCAGGCCTCCATCTCATCATCAACATCGCCAATTTCCTGTCTCAAGAAAGGGTTGTAAGCATGGGTTAAAGTTTCTCCCATCAAGTCTGTTTTTATAGATCACTACGTTTGCATGGAAATGGCGTATGCCTCCTTCCAGGTCTCATTTTGTGCGTATGCAATGTTTATAACCTAGACCCATGATCCCTTTCTTTTGGAGAGGAAGAGATCTCTGAGGATAATTTAGCTCCCGGTCGAAACCTCCTGAACATCTGGATCTTAAGTTATCAGAGGAAAAGGTGAGCACATATTTGCAGCACTAGGCTAACATGCTGTCTGACATACCAAATGTTTTTATTTGGTGTTTTTACTTGTTTAAACCAGCTGGTCTGTTTGTTTTGGGGCGGAAGAGACCTCTGAGGATAATTTTGTTCCTGGTAAAAACCTCCTGAGCAATAAATACCAGAGAATGTGAGCGGAGCGGGTGAAAATTTCCACTCCTCGCTCGCAGATCTGTCACTTTGCGCCGCTCGTCCGCTCCGCTCAAAAAAACTGCGTCGTACTACCCTAACCTGTAATCTTCTATTCACAAATAAAACGGGGTCTGCCCATTTTTCTGACAGCCCATTGTTCTGACCATATTAAACCCATTGTTCCGAAATCATCATAACGCCCTGTGGTTAAGGTCTGGTTAGGTTTAGGCACAAAAACCACTTGGTTAGGGTCAGGAAAAGATCATGGTGTGGGTTAAAATGAAAAAGAAAGTGACAAACAAATAAGCTGTGAGCCTGCTTTGCCTCAAGCCTTTGCCAGCTGACCCAGAGCCGGTCGCGGTGCACCATCAAGGCAGAAATACGCCCGTCAAAAGCTGTTCAGCCCCGCGGAGAGCTCCCCAGAGTTAATAACAGGAGGTTATGGTGTTTCATTCTCTTCTCTCTATGACACTTGTATCTCAACCAGTAGCCTACTTTTGTTGCGTTGCTGATCCTCTATGGTACACAAATACAGTAATAATCACATATCGGAACAACGGGACGTCGGGCTAATGAGAGATCGGAACAATGCGGCACCAATAAAACATGAGCTTGGTAGATTCTCCGGGGAGCCCTCTCCCTGCAGTTAGGGACCATTCTCCAAGGTACCGCTGCTTCTCTTCTCAGTTTCTTTTCTGAAGTACACAGTAAACTCCATAGTTTTGAAAGAAAATAGTGTGGGTATGCGCAGGTGCAAAGATGCATTCTGGGTGGGGCATGAGCGACCGGAGCGAAATTGGAGCAAGAGATAAGGCTCCGCTCCACCTTTTAAAAAAGTAGCCGCTCCTCGATCAACACAAAATCCTCCCGCTCCTCTCACATGCTCTGATAAATGCTGACGGAATTCTAACCAGGAGAAGTTTCAGCCGGTTGCAATCTACAATCTTCACCACTAGATGCCACTAAATCCCCTGAAATCTTACACACTGTTCCTTTAATCCAGACACATATTATTTACATTTAAAATAGTTTTGGCCTCAACAGAAGAAGAATTAAATGATTCAAACTTCCACTTTGTCGAGGTCTCCACAGTGTTACATGACAGGGGAGAATACATGTGTGAACTTTGAATTTGTTTTCCAGTCTAGAAAAGCATCAGCGAGGCACCCTGTAGTTCACCTGGTAGAGCAGGTGCCCCGGGTACAAGGGCCCTGTCCTTACCGCAGCAGTCGCGTGTTTGATTCCAACCTCGGCTGCATGTCATCCCCTCTCAATAAATATCTGTATTTGTTAGAAAAACATAACATTATGCTGCATCATCATAGGGCTGTCCTTTGTGCTAATTGTGCATGAGTCAGAGTGAGCAAAGAGTTGTCATCTGTCCATCAAAAGGCACCATAAACAGTCAAATTACACAACATATCTTACGAGCGTGTGTGTGTGCGTGTGTGTTTACATGCAGTCTTCTTGCTGTGATTTCACATGATAAACTCTCCCATCAGCCTCAGCGGTTACATAAAGTCTGTTTACTGAGTACAAGCCTGAACTCAGGTGATGGGGCATGTTTTCTCTCCTCTGGCAGTAAATAAATAATTCATTCAGGTTGTAGAAAGTGTGTTGGATTTCCGCAGCTCAGAAAAGTTTGCAGAAGCTTGTTGAATCTGTGGTGAGAGCTGGAGCTGCATCCCGACCTGGCAACGTGCCCCGAGACAGTTTGTCCAAGAGTTCCCGTCCCTTTTACCTCATTTAACTTCATATGGGCTGTTGGGGCTGCGGAGAAAGTGTTTAATTTTATCTTTATTTTTCTGCTCTTTACAATCAGAGACAACAAGTACTCCATCCAACCTCTCTGAGAAAATATGCGCTTCCTCCTGACGTCACTGGGCACCATTAAACAATAATGGTGAACACCTGCATATCGTGTCAACGTGAGAGGAAGCTTTTTTGTCATCCGTGTCTGACACCTGAAGTCACGACCAAGCCCTGGACTTGACAAGTTTGGAGCGAGACTGGGTTTAAATGACTGGCGAGTTAACAAATAGTGCTGTGAAAGCAACGTAAGAATAATAGTTCACACGTATCAGACCGTGGGGTCGTACCATGCAGGCAGAGGGAAAGAGTACAGCCATAAATGGTACCAAAGCACCAAAGTGCAACAGTTCCATATAAGAAACAGATCATAAACGTATAAATGAGGATGTTTTCAGGTTGTTAACATGTTCAGCAGTGAATGTTTGGTGTTATTTCTGTGCTGAGATGCATCAACACGCCTGCAGCATTCAGTATATTTGATGTTGGTGTTCACTTCTGATGTGTGCGCACATGCATGTGAACAAATATACAAAGTGGATTTGGGGAAAAGTCTCAGTCTTCCATTGCAGAGGGAGGGAGGTGCAGGAAATGTTTCTCAGATGAAATAACATTTGCAAAAATTTGCTCTTCAGAGAACTGACGCTCCTTGTTTTCCTGTGAGAAAATAAGAGCGCTGGTTGTTAGAGAGTGTTTTAATCACTCAGTCGGCACGTGGACGTTACAGAGGTGTGTGAGACGTATTGTCATGTAGCCTGTGTGGAGAAAATCTGGAATCATGTCAGATGTGAGACTCTAAAGGTGGAGATGTGGACTGCAAACTTTGACTTTAAGCTAAATGAATCATCTGGATTTGAGTGTTATGACCTTAAAGATGTGACCCTCCCTCTCCAAACTCAGACAGGAAGAATGTTGTCAGGACCAGAAGCATGTTCACACACACAGAGCAGACATTCAGGCCAGTGTGGGTGAACTCAGCATCTTGTGTTTCCAGTGAATGAATGTAACTTTATGGAGGAGTCCCTCGTGTATTTTAGTGTGGAGTTGTTCTGAGAAAGAGACTTTTCTTTATTTTTTAATTCAGAGGCACAGTTGTAACAGATTGTTTTGAAATTTGGTGAAAAGTAATGACACTCTGAAGCCCAGTGTAGACCAAAGATTCATGACGGGATGAAACCATTTCCAGGGTTCCTACACATTTGGAATTTCAAAATTCCATACTTTTCCATACCCTAATTTCCAGACTTTTTTTCAGAGAATATGCAACATCTGAGTAAATATATCAGTGTATCATATTTCACATCATATTTAATCATTCTTAATAGGCAATTGTAGCCAAGTACCATAATGGCATACAAATATAAACTCAGGTAAGTTCAATGTCTGGGCTGAGGCAAAAAGGTTGGGACTCTGGGTGCAAGCGATGCAGTAACGAGACGTTGGGTGTTTTTTCCTTTCATGTGGCTCAGAATCGCCTTCTCCCCCATGTTGGCGATGTCAAACGATTTCACACAAAGCTTGCATCTAGCTCTGTGTGTGAATTGGGAATCCTTGGCCAACCAGTATTTATACGGCATCGTCAAGCCATCCATCCAAAAATTTACATCTACCCATTGTGAACCACGTGAAACTCGTCTTCTTGTCGAAGGTGCAGTGTTGGAGTGAAACTTGACACCTGGGGGTCTGGAGGAGGGTCATGGGGCAGCGGACTGGACAGACCACTTGTCAATCAGGTAAAAGGGGCGGTATGTTTTCTGAGACGTTTGCTCTCACACAAACTGTGCTTGGCCCGGCATAAAACACGATCCGAAAACAGTATTTTAGAACAGTGGTAATAGTCTGGAAACATAAATATTTTTCCATACTTTATTTTTCATTTTCCATNGTCATATAGGTTTGGATTTATTTTGACAAGGTGCAGCTCCTCCTCACAGAGTTTCACTTTTTTTTCTGTGGCTAAGTGACCAATGAATTCTAGCCAACTAATGTTTGGTTTTCTAGTAAAGTCCGTGAGTCAAGTCAAAATGACCGCAGACGGTGTGTTCGTTTGCTGCGACAGGTGCTCCGTCCAAGCCGAGCCTTCTGTTACTCGCTGTATGTTTGTTATGTTCTTTATTTAATACCACTATTTTTTATTTTTTATTAACTACTGCACCTGAATGAGAAAATACTTTTATTTATATTTTTACTAAATAATTCAAAACAGAAATAGCATTAAATGGATTTTATGTGTAGCAGTGATTAAAACAAGAACAACATTAATATCCCATCATCAGTATGAGGTGATGTGATGATAACACACACCTGACAGGTTATTTTCATAAGGTCTTTTTTTAATCTATCTTATGAATATAACACTTCGAATCAAACAAGACACACAGACAAGAGGTGAAAGACGAAGAGACCTACACACTTCTAGCTTGGCCTTTTCTAACCCAGGCACGTCCCACTGACACACCCTACTCCCTCATCCATCCTCCCCAATTCCACCTAAGAGAGATTGACGGTTGTGCTTTACTAATTTTCCCTGTTTAAATTTCAGGTGAAATATGATGAGGTGGATCGTGTTGCTGTCTGTGTGTCTACATGTCATCTCTGCGACGTTTGATTACATCTATGAGGAGCACTCCTTTATGGGTAAGGAAGGACACTTGTTTATTTATTAGATGGTCGAATCAGTGATGATAAAATCATTAGAGCTTAGTGTGTGTTATCCTCTCCTGGACGTGCTGTACATCACTGCTGTCTCTGGAGAGTACTCATCAGCTGACATCTTCCTCAGACCCGGAGGATGTGCTGAGTGTGAGCATTCCTCTGGAGGAACCACAGCGACCTCTACTGGGAGCAACTATCGTACTGCCATGTTACTTTGAGGTGAGTAATCATGAGCTTTAACCTCTGTTTGATCAGAAAAAGACAGAGTGAAGACGTAGCTGGTGAAGACAGTTAAACATCCAGCGGCTAAAGAGACAGATATTTCCCTCAGGAGTTAATTAATCAGGTGGACAAAAACACAACTCCAAATAATCTAATGTTGCTCTGTGTCTGCTGGATTTGTTAACAGGGATTAATTTGTGTGGTACAAAGGTTTTAATAGTGTGAGTTCCTGTAGGAGTTGTAATACTTCCTTTCATTAGCTTCAGATTGTTTACACTGAGGAAACCCAGGAAACGAACTGGTGGTGAGAGGTGTTTGTTGTTTCCTGTGTAGGACCACACTGTCCCAGACCCCGGAGCCCCCACCATCGCTCCCCTCGCTCATCGCATCAAATGGAGCCTCGTCACCAAAGAAAAAGTCACGACTATCCTGGTGGCCTTGGAAGGAGAGGTGCGCATCAGCGAGAGCTACCTGGACAGAGTTCACCTGGTGGGATACCCCATGACCTCTACAGACGCCAGTATCAAGATATCTGAGCTGAGGTCCAGTGACTCGGGGGCCTTCCGCTGTGAGGTTCAGCACGGCATCGAGGACAGCCATGACACCGTCCACGTGCAGGTTCAAGGTATGAACATCTAAATATCAAGGATATAAGTTATTCATTTGTTTTGTAATATTTCATACTGTTTTCCTCTAGTTGGTCCAAAGTCCAAACATTTTCCATTCATCAAATTATTCATTGCTCACTTTTAATAAATTAATTCTCATTAAAGTTCTTGTTTGTCTCTAGGTATTGTGTTCCACTACCGGGCCATCATGGGACGCTACAGTTTGACTTTTGAGAAGGCGACAGCAGCATGTGCACAGAACAATGCGGTCATGGCTTCACCTGAGCAGCTTCAAGCAGCCTACGATGATGGATTCCACCAGTGTGACGCCGGCTGGCTGTCTGACCACACAGTCAGGTCGGTGTGTCACATGATGGGCAACAACTGTTACTGCTACCTCCCTTTGACACAGAGCAACATGACGGAGTTGTATCTGAAATATGTTTTATTAATGGCTGAGGGGAAAGTCTATTTTTTTCAATGTCACAACTCAAGACAACGTGCTGTACAAAAGGAATAAATCGCTATAAACACACACATAAAAAGCAACATGACTGTCAGGTACACAGCTCACATTTTTTCATTCATAGACACAACACACACAGGTACAGGTCAGAGAGAGACACATCAGGGGGACTCAAACACGACTAAATAAAAGTGGGTTTTGAGCCTGGACTTAAACGAGTCAGTGGAAGAGACAGATCTGATTGAGAAGGAGATGCTGTTCCACAGTTTGGGGGCAGACACAGCAAAGGCATGATCACCCCTGAGCTTGAATTGGGAGCCTGGGACAACCAGGAGCCCCAGGTCAGCTGACCTGAGGGACCTGGGGGTTGAATAGGGACTTAGGAGGCCTGTGATGTAGGATGGGGCCAGACCGTTAAGGGTTTTGTACACAAACAGGAGAACCTTAAAGTCAATACTTAACTTTACATGCTGCCAGTGGAGGGAGGCTAACACAGGTGGGACAGAGAGGACTGACTAATGCAGGTGTACAGAGAGTTACAGTGGTCCAAACGGGAGGAGATGAGAGTGGGTGACTATCTCCAGGTCTTTGAGGGAGAGAAATGGCTTACTGTGTAGTTTGAAAAAGCTAGCTTTTACCACTGCATTCATTTGAACGTCAAACTTGTGCCACAACGTGTAGATGTAACATATCTGTGGTTTGCAGAAACGTTCAATGCAAACATTTTTTCTGGCGACTGGGTTTGATTTGAGGGCAGCAGGGAGGGTTTTCAAAATAATCTCTGTTTGCAAGTTCAAAATCTAATTTCGATACTGATGACACCAAAGCTTATTTCCATTTTACTGCTTATTTCCAAAGGTACCCGATCCGTGATCCGCGTGTGAACTGCTATGGTGACAAAGAGGATCTGCCCGGGGTCAGGACGTATGGAGTGAGAGACCTCAATGAGACGTATGATGTCTACTGCTTCGCTGAGAAGATGACAGGTACACTGCCATAATGTCTCTGCGTCTGATTGTTGTATGAATTCTCTTCTGTTTTCAGGTATCTAAACTCATTCTTTAACCCTAAATGAATCTTTCTTACCTGACGCAGGCAGAGTTTTCTACACCGCCTCAGCAGAAAAGTTCACTTTCTCTGAAGCCGTGGTGGCCTGCTCCAATCAGGGAGCTCAGCTAGCCACCACAGGTCAGCTCTACCTGGCCTGGCAGGGCGGGATGGACGTCTGTAACGCCGGCTGGCTGGGAGACAGGAGTGTCCGCTACCCCATCAACATCCGTCGGCCGCAGTGTGGAGGGGGGCTGCTGGGGGTGCGAACTGTTTACCTCCACACCAACCAGACAGGATACCCACTTCCTGAATCCCGCTATGACGCCTTCTGCTACACAGGTGGGCCAACATTTAGACAAAGAGTGGAGATGCAGAAAGCTGTTTCACTCATTATTAGATACACAAATATTTTCACCAAAAAGCAGATTCCTAAGAGACCATTTTAATCCAATCACCAGAAAAAAATGGCGTTAAATGTTTCTGCAGACCATGGATATGTCACATCTGTATGTTATTATGTTGTGAATACATTGAAACTTTATATTTCAACAATGCTGTGGCCAACATGTAATTAGGTTTAGGCACAAAAAACAAACACCCGCTTTATGTGACACTCTCCCACCTGGAAATGTAGTTATGTCTCAGTTATAAACAAAGCTTTTGTTACACTATCCTGGCAAGAAATTAATCAATGTCACATGCACGTTGCTAAAAAACACCCATATTTGGTGCCCAAAAAAGCCGCTGGAAAAACAGCGATGGGTGGCTAAATAATACTCATGTTTGATGCCTATAAAGCTGCTTGTAAAACAGCGACCGATCACTAGAAAACACCCACATTTGATGCCCCAAAAGGTGCTCGTAAAACAGCAACCAATTGCTCATTTGATGCCTAAAAGCCACTTGTGAAAGAGCAAAGTGTCGCTAAATCATAACTAATTTTGTGGTCTGTAGCTTGGCATGTGTGTCACCTAGGTGTTGTATTCGAATAGGTGTTGAATGCAGCAGATTCATGGTTTGCAGAAATGTAAAATTCCAACATTTTCTTCTGGTTACTGGGCTGACCACTGATAGTAAAAGGTTAAATAAATGAACACTGAATCTTAGTTAAGTCTACACTATCAAAAGTTTGGAATGCTCTTGAAAGGACCTGTGGGGGGATCCTTTTTCTAAATCTAATCTTCGTTGTGTTCTCTCTTGTGTTAATGACTTGAGAACAGGTTTAAAAGGGTATTTCCAGCATAATCATTTTAAGTTTTCATCTGTGGAAAAAAAGGTGGGGAAAAACTGCTGATACTTGATAGTTGTAATAAAGTGAAATTCGGTGCTGTTTGAACAGAGACTATAACAAAAGAAGAAAGCCTAAGTTCCGACCCAACACAGTCACAGCTAAAGCAAAGATTTCTCACTACCCTTTCTCCTCAATATCCTCCAGAGTCCCCTGATGAGGAAGGTTCGGGCATCATAGAGGAAGGAAGTGGCGTGCTGAGTGTTACGGCGGTGACGCAGAGCCCAGAGGTATTCTTCAGGAGGACGACCACAGAGAGCGAGGCGATCGGAGAGGTGGAGACTCAGCAGCCGACGGTGGTGGACTTCACCTACACAGAGAGCCCTACTGAGCTGCCGCTGCCTCAGCCACCAAACGTCACTGAGATCATCACTGACCTGATCGAGGCAGCCACCGCCCGGCCCGACACAGGCAGAGAGCTCAGCAGAGCCTTTGTGATTCCTCCCACTGGTCAGTGAAACTGGAGTGCTGATGCATGTTACAATAACTGTGACATCACATAGAGTATCCCAAATGATAATGTTTGTCTGTGCAGGTGTGGTCTTCCATTACCGCTCAGGTTCAGGCCGTTATGCCTTCACCTTCGTGGAGGCCCAGCTGGCCTGTCAGAGTGTCGGAGCCTCCATGGCCACGCCAGAGCAGCTGCAGGCGGCATATAAGGCTGGATATCACCAGTGTGACGCAGGATGGTTACTGGACCAGACTGTAAGGTAAATCTGAAATATATTTTCAGAGCAGGGAGAGATTTGTGTCCCAAACACAGTACGCCATAATGATTGCTCTTTTTTAGGTATCCCATTGTTTCACCTCGAGAGAAGTGTGCTGGAGATCTGGGTGAGCAACCTGGAGTTCGGTCCTACGGTTTGAGGCCAGCAGATGAGAGATATGATGTGTACTGTTACATCGATGGGCTCAAAGGTAACAGTGTTTAGCTTGTAACATTAGACATTACTATGATATATATCCCAGAGACTTATCTGCAACTGAATTTAATCATGAACCAGATGCAGCCTAATCGCCAGAATAAATGTTAGTGTCATATGTTTCTACATACCACGGACAGATTACAGTTTTATGTTATGTAGCAGATACATTAAAACTTAATGTTTGAACAGAGCTGTCGTTAACAGGTGGTTAGGGTTAGGCTTAGAAACCACTTGGTTATGGTGAGGAAAAAGATCAAGTTTTGGCTTAAAATACACAGTTTTGAGGGCACTAGCCCAGCAGGAATGCAGCGATGTCTTGGTAAAAACAGACAATATTTGTTGCACTATCCCACCAGAAAAGGCAGCAATATAACAGTAAAAGTCAACTGCAGCAATGTCTCTAAAAATCAATGTCTTTTTGCGACACTTTCCCGGCACAAAACGCAACGGTGTCTCAGTAAAAAGTCATCTCCTCTCATATCTTGGCAGGAAATGCAGAGATGGTTCTGTAAAAATCGATTGCCTTCTTTACCATCTTGACACCTCCCCTGTCTGCTCCACAGGTGAGGTTTTCCATGTGGGCTCTGCTGAGGGTTTCACCTATGATGAGGCTGCTTCCAGTTGTCACGAGCAGAATGCTGTACTGGCCTCCCCTGGAGAGCTCTACGTAGCCTGGAAAATGGGCTTTGACAAGTGCCGCGCCGGCTGGCTAGTGGATGGCAGCGTCCGCTATCCTATCAACAACCCTCGCACTGAGTGTGGGTCCGGGAGATCAGGAGTGCACACTGTGCACGCTCACAACAACCAGACAGGCTTCCCTGGGCTTAACGACACATTTGATGCGTACTGTTTCAGAGGTAAATGCTTGACTGTTATCTAATGGACTCATTCAGATATTTAGATCGTCATTCATTCATCATTTTCTTGTTGTGTTCTTTCAGCTGATATTCAGCTTATTGCAAATGAAACTGGACTGAACATCACGGATATCGAGGAGGCTCTCCTTAACTTAACATCAATTACTGATTTGTTGAGACCCGGTAAGCTGCATTTAAATCATCAACAAATTACTTTCTTACCTCTGCAAATGTCCCTTTTATTTCCAATGTCCTTCAATCCTTTTTTTATATCCCTGTAGCTGTTCCTTCCATCGTCTCACCCATCCCTGTGGAGACTTCGGGATCTGGCTCAGGCTCTGCAGACTTTGGCTCAGGCTCTGCGGTTGATGGTTTCTCTGGAGGTCCTTCTGGAGACTTGTCTGGTTCTGGAGACGGGGTAATATCTGGAGACCTGTCAGGTTCTGGAGATCTATCTGGCTCTGGAGACGGGGTTATTTCTGGGGACTTGTCTGGTTCTGGGGACTTGTCTGCCTCTGGAGACCTGGCCGGCAGTGCAAGTGCTGAGCTGCCCAGTGGATCATCAGGTCTCGACAGCGCAGATGCTTCTGGATCAGCTCTCAGTGGAGAAGGATCCGGCATCACTGTTGTTTTTTCAGGCATCGACAGCATTGTCTCTGGAGAGGGCTCCGCTTCAGGAGGATTCCAAGAAGCTGGAGAGGGAAGCGCAGAGATCCTTATCTTCCCCTCATCTGGAGCAGGCTCTGGAGTTCTCAGTGGTAGCGGGGACCTGTCTGGATCTGGTTTCGGCTCTGCAGAGAGCGGCTCCTCCACAGACAGCTCTGGGGGAAGTGGACAGTTCGTGGACTTTTCTGGGTTCAGTGGTTTCCCATCAGGATTCTCCTCAGGAAGTGCCAGCGGACAGTCAGGAGACCTTTCAGAAAGTGGAGACACTCGGATCTTATTGATAGATGGTGAACTGATCGATGCATCGTCCACCCCTACCACCCATAGGGAGTACGAGCTTGGTGGAGGCCAACTGGCATTCAGTGGCTCTGGAGACTTTTCTGGATCTGGGTTTCCCAGTGGCGATCTCAGCGGTTCAGCCTCTGGAAGTGGTTTTGGGTTCACCTCAGGTGTGACCTTTGTTGGGTCAGGGTTAACTGAGCTTACAGTGTCATCCTCTGGAGAGCAGGAGGCCTCTGGGTTTTTACTCTACAGCTCCGGACAGGGAAGTGGTACACATTTGTCCGGATTTGGAAGCGAAACTTTCATCTCTGGGTCTGGATCAGGAATGTCTGGATCTGAGTCCTCAGCGAGCGGAGAAGAAGGTAGTGTTACGTTCTTGAGCGGGGATTTTTTGACAGAGGCATTTGGAGATGCTACACTGTCTATGGAGCTTGGACAGGGGTCAGTAGAGTACAGTGGAGAAGGAAGTGGTAGCAGCAGTGGCTTCTACTCTGGCAGCGGAGACACATACTCATCCACAGCCAGTGGCTTTTCTTCAGGCACTTCCTCTGGAGATCTGCCACAGGTGGTGCTGTCCTCTCCATCCAGTGAGTGGGCACCGACAGAGAGCACCGCAGGAGCAGAAGAGGCCCGTAGTGGTGACATCTATGGGACTCCTCACCCTGTGCTCGCTCCTGCAGGACTGGCTGCTCCTCCCACTGCAGCTTCACCAGCCTCTGTACAGACACCAGGCACTGCTGAAGGAACTCATTCAGTGGAGGGTAAGTCAACATGTTCTCTATTTTCTGTCACTTGTTGTGAAATAATATGACTATTTCTTTGTTGTCCTGTATTCTGTAAATCAAGAGATGCGGGGGGGGGGGGGGCAATGTTTAATCAAACGTGAAGGGATGATGCATCCCCCTCAGTCGAGTCAGATGCAGTCCAACTTACTTCCTCTGGCGTGCCAAGTTCGAGCTGCTGCTGGTCCAGGTCATTTTTGATATCAGCTCACTGGAGGCAGTGTCGGCAGCCAGTTTATTTGGCCTGACTCTGGATTGTCATTCATGCTGAGTTTCAGCCAAGTCAAGCAACCAGACACAGCCCAACTTATCTCTTCCAGTGTGCCAAATTTGAGCTGAAGGTGGTCCAGGTCATTTTTGATAACAGCATACTGAAGGCAGTATCGGCAGCCTGTATTGGGCCAGTTCTTTGGCCTGATTCTGGGGCTTCATTCATTCAAAGTCTCAGCTGAGTCGGGCAACGATTGGGGGTCCAATTTATTTCTTCCAGCTTGTGGAATTAGGGTCAGTGCTGCCTGGCCCCGGCCCGGTGATGGCAGTGTCGGCTGCTGAATTTGGTCAAGTTTATTTGGCCAGATTCTAGGGTGTCATTCATACAAAGTCTCAGTCAAGTTGGGCAATGGGTGACAATCCGATTTATCTCTCCCGACATGCTGAGTTTGGGCCAGTGCTAAGCCAGGTCATTTTTGATAACAGCCCTGTGATGGCAGTGTTGGTGACTGGAATTGGTCAAGATTATTTGGCCAGATTCTTCAGCATCATTTATGCTGAGTCTGAGCCGAGTTGGACAACCAGACACAGCCCAACTTATTTCTTCCAGTGAGCCAAGTTTGAGCTGAAGGTGGTCCAGGTCATTTTTGATAACAGCCCAGTGATGGCAGTGCTGGTAGCCGGTAATGGGCCAATTTATTTGGCTCTTTTCTGGGGCGTCATACATACAAAGTCTCAGCTGAGTTAGGCAACAGGCTGTGGTCCGATTTATTTCTTCCAACGTGCCAAATTTGAGCTGATGCTGATCCGGGTCATTTCTCATAATAGCCCACTGATGGCAGTGTCGGTAGCCGGTATTGGGTCCGTTTATTCAGCCCAGTTCTGGGGTGTCATTTATACAAAGTCTCAGCCAAGTTGGGAAACAGGCAGCAGTTTGATTTTTAGTTTATTTGGCCAGATTTTGGAGCTTCATTCATGCTGAGTCTCAGCTGATTTGGGAACTCCTACTGCAGCACGTTGAAAGAGTTTTTAAAAATCCCTTAAAAAGACCAAACACAAATTGAGACCATGTCGTCCACCAAATGGCAACTTCAGTTACTTCCATTCTTCTACAGCCCATTGACCTGCATCTAGTTCCCTCAATACAAGGAAAGTCAAACATTAATCCTGGACCACAAACAGCTAAACCATCTTCTCTAAATGACGTCTGCTCGCTTGTTTTGACTTCCTTCATTAAGTGATGTTTTTAAAAACTTATAGTACATGAATTTATCACAACATTTTGTACTTACAGCTCTCTCAAGTTCAGGCTTCAGTTTTAAACCAGCTTTACAGACATATTGGGTCGTATATGAACAATCTATACCACAGTCTGAGCAACAGCAACAGAAACTGAGGGACATCTATGCAGCAAAACTAAAAACTGTAACTTGACAGAAGAAACAGAACTAAACTTTTAGTCACGTTGCTCTTTGTGTGTAAATGCACACAGCATCTTTCTTAATGTGGAGTCTGACAGCAGCTCTGCTCTGACCTTGTTCACATTTTACAGAATGTCATTCATATTTTCTGCATCAATGATGGATTATTTCACCCACTCACAACCCATCAGCCCGTCCCTGTGTGTAACAATCAGATTGTACATGTGTTGTGAACCCGCCGATGTAGGAGCGTCTTATTATCTGAATAATGTGCCCTTTAAGTTGCAGGAAAATGCTGCACCATTTTGACTGAAGAACAGGTTTTTGTTGGTTAATGGCGCTGTCACTTTGTGCTGTCTTAAATAGCCACATGTCTATAATGCGTCAGACTACGACTCATTTTAAGACCTATGTGCCCATAGACGCACGAATGGGCACAGGTGCATTTGCTTCTAATGCAACGTGGGCGCTGGCGGTGATAATGACAGCTGAGTCAGTCTGAAACTAGCGATGACATTTTTGCTGCCTTGAGCCGGATGTAAGTCAGAGCCCCTGAAGTTTGAAACAAAGCTACTGTTTCTTGATTCTGCATCAGCTTTAACATGATTGACACATCAAATTAAGGAGAGAGGCTGACTCGTCAATTTGTTCTCATTTGCTCTCATTGAATCCACAACACTAACAAAACACAAACCTACTGTACTGCATGAAAGCTCCAGTGTGTAGGATTCAAGCAGGATATATTGGCAAAATATAAGGTAAGTATGTTAACTTTAGTGTATAATCACCTGAAAATAAGAATAGTTGTTCTTCTTTACCTTAGACTGAACTGTTTGAACTGAAGGAATTATAACTAGGAGTTTCAGCTGGTTGCAATCTGCAATCTTCACCACTAAATCACTCTAAGGGCTCATTTATGCTCAGTGTTAGATACAAGGACAGACCTAGAGCCTATTGTCCATATACTGTTTCATTTTGTCCATATTTGTGCACGTTTCCTGAAGGCTTACGTATACAAATGAAACGGAGCAGCACCGCCAGAGATCATGGAGGCAGTGTAGCACAGTTCAAGTAAGATATGACTGTAGGAGGTGACAAAGAAACTTAAATAATGGCAGAACAGAACAAATTGATAGTATAATGAAAAGAATTCTCCATCCACATGACGGGATGCACAGACCACCGCCGCACACAACATTGCCTCCATTTGAAAGGTACAATATTACGACCTCCTCCACCGTCGCCTTGTTTCTTGTTGTGTGAAAGTTTTGACAAATTTGCAGGAAAGCCCAATCAGTCTTTTTTCAGCATTGGCAGTATAAAAACAAAATCGGGGAGTGCAGCAAAATGCCGCCTACCTACTTTTGTTTATACAGAATGTGCTTTTTTTGGGGCAATGGGGGGCGTGAGCAAGTAACAAAACATGAAGCTCAGCGTGTGACGTAAACAGTCACATGGGAGGGAAGCCGCGGCTGGTCAGTCCTTCGGTGATTCTCTCGTAAGTCGGCCCGTCCTTCATCGTCCCCGTCATCTGATGGTTAATGGCCTCTTCGTTTGCGAGGACAAGGAGGGCGCGCAATTCCTTGTCTCCCCAGTTGCTCATCTTTACAGTGCCTGTCAGGTTTGTGTTTCCCTCTTGCTACTAGCTGCTCATTTCTGCTATCAGCTGTTTCCTGTTTATCCACCTCCAGTGGCTCGCACGTGCGGCGTCATCAACAGCTCCTCCCACAAGTCATCAACAGCTCCTCCCACAAGTCATCAACAGCTCCTCCCGTGGCGGAAAGACGCCTCGTTCTTTTTAAACCAAAAAGGGTTCCACCAATATGTCTACCCTGTGAGGCGGAAAATTGGGCACCTCGGATCAACTCACCAATCCGCCTCTGTGTGTCTAAATGCTCGCAGCTTGCCGGCAAAACGGCCCAACATTCGCCAAAAACCTGGCAGTGTAAAAGGGGCTAATGTCAACATAAAGGAGTGTGAAGGCAGTGAGGTTTATAGTGTTTGAAGTGGACGGATCTATTTTCATATGTAAAGGGAGTTTAAATGAGCTTTACATTTTACACACTGTTCCTTTAAAAGCACAAACACTATTGTAACTTGACAGAAGTAATCACAGCACCACTGCTATGATTACACTTGTGAGACAGATGCATCACTTTTATAATAACGTTATTTTTTTATGATAATTGGAGGGATGATGCGTTCAGGTTTCACCCTCAGAAAGGCCACAATGACCAGCACCTCAGTTCAGATGGAACTTGGAAGACCAACGCGTCTCTCTTTGAAAGAAGTATTAATGTATGTAACTGATTGCACCTGTTTTTCCAGGTGGTTTAAACCCATGTGAGCCCAGCCCCTGTGGTGCTGCCTCATGCACAGTAGAGGATGGTGTTGCTGTCTGCCACGGTGAGTCCCAAAACTGCTGCAAGTGCCATTTATTTACTCTTCTTCTTTCTTTCTCTAAAACTACTGCATTCAAATTGTGTGATGATGATTTGGTTTAACAAGTCGTGTTTCTGTGTTTGTCTTTGTTTTGAGCACTTTGCATGTTTTATGTTGTTGCTCTGCATTCTGTTTATTAATGAGCCTGTCGGTTGTGTTTTCAGATACACACTGAAATGATTGTGATTATATTTATGAATCAGACTTACCAAAAATCTGTTTTCTCTCCCTGCTGTTCTGTCCTGATATGTTTTGCATCATATCTTTTGGGTTCCTCCGATTTCCTCGTGTCCATCTCGTCTGTGTCTGGCTGTAGGTCTCTGTGTTTGTGCAGCAGATTGAATTTTTGGGTGCTTGTCAAATATGTATCAGCTCTGCTCTGGGGTTGCGCAGCCTCTGTGTCACACGCGTTATCACAATTGTCTTCAGCCTGTATGTTGTTTTTGGTTTGCTGTGCCAGTACGCCGCCTCCGCTCTGCTGTATGCACGCTCAACCCGAGGCAACATATGTGCTTCCTGGCATCATATGGCTGCTCTCATCCTGCTGGAATCTGAATACTGATCTTCTGCTGCAACCAACTGCAGATTCAAACATAAACTTACTGCAGATAATACAGTTATTAGATCTAATATATATATATGTCAGTATATATCGTCCTGATTTGGTGACCTGAAAGACTTTTCAAACACAAAGTTACATAGATGATGATTGAGTGTGCAGTAAGTTTAATTTGCATCAGAGGTTGCAGCATTGTTCAGTAATGTGTCAGTCCTGAGGTGTGATAGTCCTCCTATCACAGCTTCACCTCCCTCACCTTGCTGGCCATCCTCCCATCCCCATCCCACGCTGAAACAGTAGTGTCACCCGCCCCCTTTCTTGCAGAGGTAGATGTGTGCCATCCCAACCCTTGTGCCAATGGAGCCACCTGTGTGGAGAGTGCAGACTCTTACAAATGCTTATGCCTGCCCAGCTATGGAGGGGAACGCTGTGAGATCGGTATGAGATCAGCTTCAGCTAATAAATACTAACAACAGCCTCAAAAACAACTCAAGAGACAGAGATGCTAAATATCAACAGCTGGTAGCATCATTAGTCACTGCTGCTCACTCTGTGATGTCCTAGTTTGGCTGGGGGCCCTGTTTTCCTATCAGTGACTGAAAGATCAGTTCATATGACCTTGTGAACACAGGAATGACCCTTTGACAAGCTGCCAAAGTGATGAGCATGTGGTGCTAGTAGAGCAATACTTGAAAGAGTTTCAAGGGATTTCAGGTTATGTTTGAAACAGCTGTTCCAGACCAGCATATCCATGTGAAGTAGTTAACCAAAAGTGGCTACTTGTTACCTGAAAAAATGCTTGCTGCCCCTTTTTAGTGTTACCAGGCAACCCCCCCATCACCTCCTTATCATGTAATCAATCTACCATTTATATTTTATTTTATTTTATTTTATCCTGTTTCACAGTAATTAGTTGCTGTTTTCTATCGAGACGGTGGTAACTGAAGTTTGTAAAGTCGTATAGCTCTGGGTATCCAGCAACCACTACCACCAGTTTCTCCTCCATTGTTTACCAACTGTAAACTCGTTGTCATGACCACCACAGAAGGCCCGCCTCTCAGATCATCCCATTGGACAATGGGAGAAAAGTGGAGATGATGTGAGGCACTTTTGTGCTCAGAGTGGAACTCAAGGAGTTCAGAGTGCTCAATCACCAGGCACCTAGAGCACAGAAATGTGAGGCGTATGGCAACGTAAAAACAGCAAGCAAAAATCTTAATTCTCATTAAAAACTTTTACAAAAAGCTGCTAAAACACTTTCTGTGTGATCGGGGCCTTAAACGACCACTCACAACTGCTTCGTTGTTTAACCCCATCAGCGCATTGATCACATGATTGCAGCCTTTCGAACTATGTGGGATATGTACGAATTTCGGTGCATTATTTTTCATAGGAAAACATATCAACAGTTTGCGAAAACAGCCTGATAAGTGTCATGCTAGAATGCAAAGAGATTAAATTGAAAAACCCAAATGCAGGATGTATTCTTACGAGCAACAGCCTCACAGGGTGAACCGTTAAAGACATTGTGGGACAATTTATTTGATATAAAGTACTTCCAACTAGTCCATAGCCATTGGTAGCTTTGTCACCTTCTCCCTATGCCAATCCTCAATGCCTATGTGCAGTTTCACATAGATTGACCACGTCAGTAAGTAGAAAAACGTGGGACAAACAGAATGACTGACTGACAGAATGACACACTGACAGTTTCCGTGATTATGTACAGCATACCATACCATGACTTAGTCATACCAAATATTAGAAAACACCAACATTGGTCCACAGGGGGAGCCACAGCGATCGGTCGCATTTTAGCCATTTTGAAGCATTTTTCTGTTGTTATAGCGCCACCCAGTTGCCAATTAGAGTTCAATTTCTCCAGTCACCTTGAGGCGTCCTGTTCTACATATCTACCAAGTTTAGTAAAAATCCATATGGCGGTTAGGCCTAGATAAGAAATGAGCTCTCTAGCGCCCCCATTTTGTTTGATGGGGTCAATAATGGAGGGGTCCCCTCAGATTATGTGTGGTCATATGCCTACAAAGTTGCGTGGTGATGGGTGAAACCCTTGAGATGTTATACACCTTTATGTGATGAGCCACGCCCTCCACAATATTCATTGCCTTATAGAAGCTCAGTTTTAGTAAGTTTTCCAACTTTTGCCAAGAGGGAACTTTAGATATTGGTCCCTAGATTATGTTCACCCAGTTTCATGCAGATCGCTCAAACTTAAGATGACAGCTGTTCTTAAAGGGCATTTTTCAACCTGGACCCTATCTTTTCATGCTGTGTGTCTAAGTGATGTGTGGGAACAACAGTTTTTGGAGCCTATCCCAGCTGACATTGGGCAAGAGGCAGGGTACATCCTGGACAGGTCGCCAGACTATCACAGTGCTAACAGAGAACCATTCACACTCACATTCACAAAATTGACAACTGTCCCAGTTCACCAGTTAAGAGTCTGGTCTTCTTGTTCCCATGACTCAGCTAGACACAGAATTACAGGAAAATAGGGTCCAGGTTGAAAAATATTGGAGTTCCCCTGTGAGGTGTGTTCACACAGAAAGTTATTTGAGTGAACTGACCCTTTAAATAAAGTCATTGAGGTGGAGCAATGAATGAATAAATGAAGCCTTTGAATGTCGGTAAAAGAAGAAAAATAGAAATTCATAATTCCATTACTGTTGGGCCGGCTCTCCCTCCTGAAGTGACGCATTAAGTGTAATTTTCCATCTGCGTTGGAGCATTTGTTTTGTACGTCAGGATGGAAACACTGTCCATCGTCAGACTGGTGCTGGATGCCAGACCGACTGAGAGCATCTCTGTGGGAAAATACACTGACTCAGAGCTCTGAACATGCAAAACTGAAACACTACATGGGTTGTGAACAATATCAGCCACTTTATCAGCTGCTCACACAGACGGCAGAGAGAATGATAAGAATACATAAACGCTTCTCATCATCAGATGCTGTGCTTTAAGTTTTCCAACCCATTCGTAGTTTCAGAGGCTTAAAATGAAAAATATACTAAACCATACTGAATGTGTTCAGATGAAAGTGCTGGAGGTCAGACAGTGAATGATGTTGACTCTCTGGTGTTGCGGCTGCAGATGAGCAGCAGTGTGAAGACGGTTGGACTAAGTTTCAGGGGAACTGCTACCTGCACTTCTCTGACAGAGAGGTGTGGCTGGACGCAGAGCAGCGCTGCCGGGACCTGAACGCCCACCTGGTCAGCATCATCACCCCTGAGGAGCAGGACTTTGTCAACTGTGAGTGCATTGTGTGTGTGTGTGTGTGTGTGTGTGTGTGAGAGAGAGAGATGAAAATAAAGTCTCAAGACTTTTTCTCCCACAGCTAACGCACAGGACTACCAGTGGATCGGGCTGAATGATAAGACAGTAGAGAATGACTTCCGCTGGACAGATGGCACTCCTCTGGTGAGTGAAGACTTCACACTGGTGTGTTGTTCCTGTAACAGGCCGGGGAAATAAAAGTATAGTACAGGGTAGTGTGGTGGTTTGCAACCTGGTTCATTTGTTACCCTGTAAAGGTTCAGTGTGCAGGATTTAGGGGGATCTAGTGGCATCTAGTGGTGAGGAGTGAAGATTGCAACCAGCTGAAACTTCTCCTGGTTAGAATTCACTCAGGGTTGTTCAGGAGGTTTTTACCAGAAGCTGAAATATCCACAGAGTTCTCCTCATCTTCAAAACAAACCGACCAGGTGATTTAAATGAGCAAAAGTACAAATCAGTGTTCTTCAGATGGGTTTTAACATGCAAAAATGCAAAAATGTGAAAAGACGAATGGCCCTTTCTAAAGCCAGTGTTTGGTGTGTCTGCTCTGGGCTGCAGCAGAAACATGGTGATCTCTGTTGATGTGTTTTTGTTACCAGGTGAGGGGGCGGTCCCTCCCGCCAGTTATCAATGACCAAATTGTGGAGTGTTGACACTTCTCATTTCCTTGGCACCACCACGTGCCACACTGTGAAGCAGGAGACCAACACCAGTCATATAATTAACAAGACCCACCAGAGGCTTTATTTTATGCACCAACTTTAAAACTGTGGTGTGACAGAGGAGGTGATGCTGCTCTGCTGCAGTGCTGTAGTACAGAGTTTCCTCTGAATGTGGTAGTACAGCGATCTTTAGGACGTCATCTTCATCAGTATGTATGTTTGAGTGTGTTAACTGTTTTTGCTTTTCTTATTTTACATCTTTTACTTACTTTCGTGTGTACTTAGATTTTTTTTTCAAGAGTTGCACTCAAGTAAATTCATATCAACTGTGCTGACACATCAGTAGAGCATTGAAATGAATACTGGATGGTACAGAAATGTAAAATGACACACAAAGACACACAACACAACTACAAAGAGATGCAAAACAACCATAAAAGAGAGTAGAGAGTAGAGACACAGAATGACTACAAACAGACACAAAATGACTAAAAAGAGATCAAACCAACTAAGGAGAGACATAATGACCACAAAAAGACATAAAACTACCACATTTAGATACATAACGACGACAAAGATGCTCAAATGACAACAAAGATTCTAAAAATTACCACAAAGAGAGAGACAAAAAAAAAGAGGTCAAAACAACTAGATACAGAAGATGACCACAAAAAAGCACAAAGGTACCACAAATAGATGCAAAACAACGAAAAGAGAAGAGACTACAGAGACATAAAATGACTAAAAAGAGATCCAAAACAACTACAGAGAGCTATAAGGGGACCACAAAAAGACATAAAACTACCACAAATAGATGCAAAATGACCACAAAGAAATGCAAAACGTACATGTCTGTCACCAGCGGCCTGTAGCCTCATAATCCTTCTGTGCCTCAGGGATGTGAAGACATAAGATTACTCAGTGCTTCTTTTAAAAAACTGGCAGAAACATGCTGTTTGCCATCCTGTCTCGTTGTCTTGACCGGTACATCTAATTTTAGACCCCCATCAGTGGACCTGACCCTCAGGTTGGGAACCACTGGAGCACTGTATTATAGAATAGCAGATCACAGTGAAGGTCAATGTTGTGTTGTGACCTAAAGTCCTGATCCACTCGCCTTGGTTCTCAGTGCGTATTCTCTTCAGTGGATAGGGCAGGGAAACTGACCCATCACAAAAACATCAACACAAAATATTTTCCCCACGGGCTTTAATTGTTCTGTAGTGACATGCATTTAACTTTGCACTAGATACACGATGTTGGAAGCACTTGTGAGAAGAGGTTGTCTGAGCAGGTGAAATACGCTGTCATGCCAAAACAAGCACCAAAATAGCACCACACCATCTGATTTACATAAACACAACCTCAGCTGCACCTCGCCACCCACCTGGGTTTATTTAAAGCCACGAAATTACCAAACAGGTGTGTAAACATAAAGAAACTGTGACTTCATACCAGGTGTTTCGATGAAATCAGCACTGGTGGAAACTTCAGGTGTCGATATATGGCCGGTTTGAATAATTAAACGATGAGTCGACACAGCAGTTTATAAAGCTAAATGACAAGAGCAGCGAAAGCTGAGCCAGGTTTAACTTGAATTTCAGTAGCCCAGAACAGACAAACCAAACACTGACTCTAGATAGGGACTAGAGCTGCCGCCCCAACTAACTATTTTCCTAGTCGACCAGCAGTCCTCATCAGGGTCCATCAGTGGACTAGTCTCCTGCATGTTTCTGATATGAATGTAATGATTAAATGATATATTTTGGTGGTTTGAGTTGAAGGTGTGAGAAAGAATAGTATCAGTAACATTGTTAACACTGTGCTACATTACAGAGAAATACAAACCGTACTAATGAACCTTCATTAATATAGGCCTATATTTTATCTCCAAGTGCACGTCACACACTGAGCGAGCCGCCTGTTAATGACGCTGTGGGCTAATGGGCATGTAGCTACTTCCATGTTTCAGATGATACGTCATGTTTGTAGTCGACCAATGAAGATGAGTTTACATATCACCTTGGGTTCGTCCTTCACCTTCTCAAAATGATCCCACACTTTGGATTTCCTGCCCGACATGTTATTATCTAGCCTGTGGAATAACCGCAGGTACCAGCCCTGGAAATTAACCTGACTCCTGTCTGACTGCTGAGCGTGGACACTTCCTGTGTCTGTCCTTTCAAAGTAAAGTCCCACATGGTCCACTCATATAGGTTTGGATTTATTTTGACAAGGCGCAGTTTCACTTTTCTTTTTTTTTTTTTTCCTGTGACTAAGCGACCAATGAAATCTTGCCGACTAATGACCTTTCTGGTTAATTAACATTTGGTCTAATATTAGGGGGCAGCCCTAATAGGGACATTCACAGCCCCCGTATTAAGCAGCATCTCAGTGATGAGAGAATCTGAAAAATTAAAAAGTAGGATGGCACTTAATCACCCTAAATCTTACACACTGGACTTTTAAAGGCGTTCATAATCATAGTGACTTTGCTATTCTTAGACCAGCTGACAACAGGCATTTTCAGTCCAAAGAGTTTTAGGACTGTTTCAGTTTTTTGGGAAGGCGCTCCCCGAGAACTACATGCCTTCAAGGGGAGGCATGTAGTTTTGTCTCTGAAATAGGAGATAAAAAATTCCGCTAAACATGATTCTCCTTAGTTTTTGTGGTGTGAACACAACAGAGGAGCAGGGACTCACCTTATTTCAAGGCAATGTTTCCATTAGTAGTTACACAGACATACTGACAATAAAAAACAAATGGTGGTATCATCAATGGTGTTGTACGGGATAAGTCTGACAAAGTGTAGCTGTGGTGTAGCTTGATAAAAAGTATGTTTCACATGGTAAAGTGGCAGAGTAATAGACAGTAAGAGATCCAAATGTAAAGTTGTTGTTGTCCCTCTTACCTGTCCTCTGTGTCTGCGTTCACCTCGTAGTAAAGTATGTTTTTACTTCCTGCTCGTCTTCAGCAATACGAGAACTGGAGGCCGAACCAGCCGGATAATTACTTCAACTCTGGAGAAGACTGTGTGGTGATGATCTGGCACGAGAATGGCCAGTGGAACGACGTGCCCTGCAACTACCACCTGCCGTTTACCTGCAAGAAAGGCCCAGGTATGTTAGTTCACATTTGACATCTGTACAAAGGCTTTTAAGCTGTGTCAGTCTATTAGCAGGGAGTCCACACAAAAGATTTAGTTAAAACAAGCACAATTTATTAAACTAAGCTGAACTCAGATAACCAGTGGAGTGTGTATGTCAGCAAAGTCAGTGATGACATCCATAGATGGATGTGTGTCACATGTGTTGTGGAGGTGTTGAAGGTACAAACCTAAAAGCAGTGATGCATGGTGGATGTCAGCTGTAGGAAGGGAGAGAGCAGGTGAAAACATGAAGCAGCTTTTATACCCTGAAGGCCCAGGTCAGCTTAATCAAGGCAACAACCCTCACATGTCAGCCTGCCTGATGAGGTTGGCCAGAACATCCTACAAGACAGTAGGAGGGGCATCACACATATGACTAAAATGGCTTAGACTGCCACTGTATGTAGGCTGGATAACAGCAGTGCTCCTTGTACTGAAAATACCATGTCAGTGGACACATGGTTTGATGCGACGCCCTGTGGCTTCTGGTTCTGTCCTCAGTGTCCTGTGGCTCCCCGCCAGAGGTGGAGAATGCCCACATGTTTGGTAACAAGAGGGAGGAATACCCTGTCAACTCCATCATCAGGTATCAGTGCAACCCAGGGTTCACACAGCGCCACCCTCCTGTGGTTCGCTGTAAAGCAGACGGACAGTGGGAGAAACCTCAGGTGGAATGTACTGACGGTGAGTCTGCAGGGACTCCCTGTTATTCATTCACCTTGGGGCGCGTTTATAGAAAAACCTCCCTGACAGGTTTGACTTACTCGCTTTGTGTTTCTCCCTCGCCGCAGTGAAAGCCAGAAGAAGACGACAGCGGAGGAGCAGCAGGAGTCCAGGAGCCAGCAGCAAGGAGATGCATCTTCCATTTTAGTGAAGATGATTTGAAGGGTTAAACTGTTGGAAGGCTTCGTCATGGTCCCAACCCCTGTCCCACATAATATATTTTAATTATATATAATAATTTTATTGCTCTGAGTTTGTTTTTATCATGTGTATTGTAATATAATTGTGTTTGGTGAAATCATCGCTGGGACTGTTTGTTCCACATGAGTTTTATAGAAGGCAGCATCTGTCTGGTTCACTGTCGTCTGCTGGAGATGGTTGGTGGACGTTAACACGTTAGGATCTGCTGTCAGACGGGTTTATGATGTGAGACGTCAAGTTATATGTTTGCATAGTTTATCATTATATCTGACAGCAGGGGGAGATGCTCCTTTGGTGAAGGTAAAGGAAATTACTGGTGTTTTTAAAGTTCACATCAGTCATCCCAGTGCCCCATGGCTTCAGTTCTTCCTGCTGGTTTCTGAAATCAGTCAGCATAGTTAAAAGGATCATTTTTCCTCCTTAGATGAAGCTGTTTTCTGTCGTTTCTTCCTGTAATACAGCATGAAATACAACTTCCACAGTGCGAGACAATCCTTTACAGGAAACAAGAACAGCCGTGCTTGCAATTTGTTTTTCTTGTAAATACCGTTATCCCAAAATCACAAGTTAATTATTTTGTTATCGTGAGAAAACAGGCTTTGTTATCTTAAAAAAAACAGGATAGTCAGCCCCTGCTCATGAGAAAACAAAAGGTTGTTTCCTCTTATTATTTATAGGGCCCTGTCTTACACTCAGTGCAAAGTCACACACAGCACAGCGCATCATTGCTAGTTTCAGACCGACACAGGTGTCATTTTCACGGCCAGCACCCACGCTGTATAAAAAACAAATGAATTTGTGCCCATCTGTGTGTCAATAAGCGTGTAGGTCTTAAAATGAGGTGTGCTCAGGAACATTGTTGGTGTGTTGCTGTATTGAAGGAGCAGAAAATGACTGATCCATTGACCAACAAAAACCTGATCTTAAGTCAGAACAGTGCAGCATTTTCCTGCTATTTAAAAGGCGCTTTATTCAGATAGTAAGAAGCTCTTACAGAGGCAGGTTCACAACACACATACACTCTGCTTGTTACATACTTGTTACGCATGGATGAAATGATACATCAATAATGATGTAAATGGAAAAAAGTAATTGCAAGCACAGCCGTTCTCAGCTTCTGTATAATGCAGGAAACACTGTTAAAACTTTGACATTTGAGAAACGCCCAGAGGAATCCATCTTTAAGATTATTGGATGTGATAAAGATTATTTCACACCTCTTAAGTGGTTTTATTGGCCATTATATTGAGTCAAAATAACCTCCCTAGATGAGTGGAAACAAGAGCAGCTCAGTTGGCATTGCACTTTTCTGCAAACCAAAAATACGTTTGCAGGTTTCATATGTATCATAGCGACTCATTGCTGTGTTTTCGGCTGTTTATTAGGCACCAATTGGTGGTGCTTCTCAGGGACCCATGGCTGTTCTTTTACAGTGGGGACAGTGCCATAAAATGCAGTTGTTTTTCACAGAGACATTGCAGCATTTCCCGGAAGGATTTTGTCCTAAAAAATGGGTACTTTAAGACAAAACATGAGCTTTTTCTAACATTAACCGAATGCTTTTAACCAAAGTGTTGGCTAAAAGTAAAGGAACATAGTTTTACCTGCAGCATAATAACAAACAAATTTATACGTGGTTTGCAGAAACGTACAGTGCCAGAATTTTTCTGGGCAGCTGGGTTGCGTCTGTTACAGTAAACAGTGGTTGAAAGCAGAGACTTTTGGTCAACGTGAACACAAAACCTTTTATTTATTGACTTCACACAGAGTCTCTGCTGGACTGAGCCAGCTGTTGTTAAACACTATAATGTTCAGTCCTGTTATGAGACGACAGCAGCATCAGACACACAGCAGGCTGAATAAACTTCTTCTAACTCCATTTCTCATATTTAATCTGCAGACGATCAAGTGAAACTTCTTGTGACCCCTCAGTTTGTCATGTCGGCTGGTTTGAGTTTTCTGTGTGTTTTAGTTGTCATCATCTTCCACGAGGCTGTGCGGTGCACAGTGTGTCTGTGGGACAGTTTAATGAAGCTTCATGTTTGTATCCTCAGAGGAAATAACCTCACTGTAAAACATTACAGTGTGAAACGCCTGATGTTGTTGTTGACTGCTTTCATTTGTGCACTTGTTTTGTATCATAGCTGCTCTATCGGGGGCTGTGCCTCCTTCATACATGCTGTCACCTGCTGCATGATAAACCAAAGACTGAGATTCAATTTACACGCTGTACATGTGTCTGCTGTGGCTCCATTCACTCACTGACTTAAAGAAACAGTCTCTGTTTTTCTGATTGTCAACACATCACATTAAAGGGGCAGTCTGTGATTCTCATCCAAAGTCTGCCAGCTGTCTGTTCTGTGTGTGCACTGAAAAAATTCACAGCCCAGCTCTGTAAATGGGAAACAAACAATGTGTCTCGGAGCGAGCTACACAACACTAACCTGGTTACTCTTCCTCTTTAACACTGTCGCCAACAGAGATACACCATGATACTGAAGTAACATCACAGGTGTTACCTTGCCAATTGACCTAGGCTAAGCCACGCCCCCCTCCACTCACTCAGACAAACTATCAACATTCAGTGAGCGGCGCTATGGCAGGTGTCACAGTACACGGCATTTCACAGTAGGCAACTGATGATTTTTGGGGACATAATGATTAGATGTCATTGAGAAGTAACCTAAAGGGCCTAAACTACGCATTGGAGGGATATATTCATCATTTTATTGTTGAGAAGGTCGATGAAAAGCTTAAATTACAAGCCAAAATTTACAGGTCACAGTGTACGCTTGTGAACCGCATCTGGTTGCTGTCACCAACAAAGACAACAAGTTAAAGTGCCACTGAAGTTAAGGTTTTTTGCTCAGAATATGAGAAAAGGATAACGGCCTTTTTACCATCTTTACCAAGAGTGTCTCTCCGTTAGTTTGGTGCTACAGTATTTACACTGAATCATTCAGCATAACGTTTGCCAACCTTTGTTATCTCTGCCATTACAGATAAGTTAATGAAGCTAAGCTCCAGAAGTTAACGTTAGCTTAACTAGAGCCCTTTGGACAACAGCTAACAATGATGTACGATCACCAAAGTACAAAATTAGAACAAAATAGGCTAATGAACTCCCAGCAAACAAGGTGACATGATGAACAACGCAGCTAGGAGCTAACGTTAGGCTAACAGATGTAGACATCATTGTTAATCTTATTCACGTTGAGTTGATGTTGTGGTCTAACGTTACCACACAACTTTATCCAAAGGAGACACTTTTCTCGCTTGAGATGTGGTTTAAAGTGTAAAAAATACACCTGGTCGCCCAGCCTCTCAGGATACCTTGTGTCAGAGTTGCATGTACCCCATGCACACCGTTTGACCATTTTTAAACTTCAAATCTCAGAAAAAGCTCATAAAACCTAACAAACTGACTTTCTGTAATGCATTTCAATGGACGTCCAGGCAGAGAATGTCCCAGTGTATGGGAATGGCTATACGCACTGTGATTGGCTCATCACGTCTGAGGGCGGGGCTTAGTCATAGGTCAATTTGCTGACTCCAACTTTAAAAGACCCAAACCTACAATTAATGTACCTATTAACGATGTAGTGTGTATCTAACAGGTGTAGTGTGTGTATCTGCTGACTGATAGATCTTCTTCCTCTGTGCCATAGAGCTCTATTGTTGTTAAAAAAAAAAAAAACATTAACGAGCCGTACTGTTGCACTGGGTGATGTTCCTTCGTTACCAACCCAATATGTTGGCACTGTTTCTGAAAAACAAAGAGCCAAGCCGGCTACTTCTGCTTTAACATTCCGTTAAAACTTGAATCACAATAAAATGATTTAATCGTGCAGTTCTTCTAGATTTTTCAAATGTTATCGGACTAAATGAATAAAATTCTTCTGGGTGAAATGAGTCATTTTGAAGGGTTTGAGATGCTCAAAAGAATTTATCCACTGATTAATGGATGATTTTTGGGCCACAAGGCATCACGTGATGTTGTAATAATACTCAGTACGTGTCCATGCACAGTGAAGTGGAGCTACGTTTATAGCTTGCCATCTAACTGGCCTACTGTCCTTGTCCCAGTATACAAGCACGGGAGGAGAATCAATTTATTGAGCCAAGTATGTGCGACTCCTCTACGATAGGTGGAGATATGCCCCCTTTCAGCGTGTTAGTATTGGACCTTTTTCCTGTTGACCTATTACGTCACAGACCAAACAATGGACAAACAAGTTAGCTATGGTTAGCTAGCAGCTAACTGCTACCATGGTGGACAACTTTACAGCTCTGTACATTTGGTCCGTCCAAAAAGTCACGGCTCTGGATGTAGATTTCTCCATGTTGTTAGCGGCTTCTTCTTCTCTTACACATTTAATGCTATTGGACTTCCGGGTCAAAGCCCGGGGCGGAAACTGTGGAGCATGCTCAGAGCGCCTCGGCCAGTTTGGGTCTGATTGACTGTATACATGCAGGAGTCACATGATCTGGGTGTGTTAGTCCCACTGTGACAAATTCACTTTAGGACCATTTCACTCACACTGACATGTTTAAATTTTAAAATTTAAAAGTCCGTTTTAAGTCAGACTAACACAATAAATCGATTTTCTCTAACGTCATGTTAACATATTGACAGTTTGGCCAATACAAAAATTGGGCTCAAAGCCTGACTCCTGGAGGCCCAAAATATCCTGTTTGGGGGCACAATCCTCGCAGGAAACACAGCGATGTCACAGATTGCTATGAAACACCCATGTGTGATGTCTAAACAGATGCCGGAAAAACAGCAGTGACTGCTAAATGGTGTCACGCTGTCCATCGTGCCTTCCACCTCCTGATAACAGTCAGCACATATGACACTTTAGAAACGTTGATATGATATGTATGAAATGTGCAAATGTAACGGAATTCTAGTTTGTAAAAAATGTACAATGCCAACATTTTCTTCTGGCGACTGGGCTGTCATTTCCAGGAACACCCACACCGTTGACTCAATCCCACATATACCGTCCTCAAATACTCACTGGAGCACCAAATGCAGACACCAAATTGGCCCAATAGAGTTTCCTCCTGTTTGTTTGATAAAAGCTACAGCAAGCAGCTGTTTGAGGAAATTACTGAGACTCTTTAAAAAAAAAGAAAAGAAAAGAAATATTTGTGACCTGCTCTTAAAGATGTGTGTCTTCAGTGTAACAGACGGGGAAGTCACAGTATTAAGAGACAAACACTTGGTTGGTTTTGGCCTTTCTGTTGTTGACATTAAGAAATACTGAACATTAAACCAGATCAAATCATTGAAATGTTGTCAGCTCAAATGCAAATTCAAACATCATGTTAATCTGAGGACAAAACAAACTGATATAAAACAGATAAATATGATCTAAGAGAAACACATATTTGTACCTCATGCTCACATGATATCTTCCTCTTGTTTGATGTTTTATGAAACCAAAGAGCAGAATGAACTCTGAATGTTTGTACTCACATCAATCATTGCCAAATAAAAACTCTTTGGTTGTGTGATGGCTTCAGGTGTTTCCTATAACTTACCTGAGGACTCTATGTTTATGAGAAACTTATGTAATCAACAGATCATTCGCTCCTCCATCATTCCAGGAGGGTCACTGCCCAGGTGTTCCAGGTACAGACAACAAGCAGGTCTTTCACCTCCCGTCTGCCTCTCAGTGAGCTCAGTGTTTCTGAGGTAAATAGGATACAACGCTGACTCATAGGAATAATAAAATTCCGGTAAATTTGTATTTGCCCAACGGGCTGGGTAGCGTATGGCGTCAGTGTTCCCTTGTGGCTGAATAGGGTTCTTTTAAGGATCCTCTGCACCCCACCCTCTACACACACCGGTTCACCTCTTCGCCCCGGGCCTCTGGATGAATCACCTCTCTCTGCTCTCACCATGTTTTGCACTTACTAATTAGAAAACAGAAAATGTTTGTTACCTTAAAAACACTTTGCTAAGTGCTTCTTGCTGTGAGAAAAGACCACTTCACATTACAGCCAATTAGAAACACTAACTTGTTGTGTCAGAGGCACCTGGACCTCAACATGGACCTCAAAACTAAAATATATATTTCCATTTGGCCTTCATTTAACCAGAAAAACATCTCTCAAGATTAAAAATCAGTTGAGGTGGTTCAACATCTGATCAGGATCCTCCCGGGCGCCTCCCTCTGGAGGTGTCCCGGGCACGTCTCACTGGTAGGAGGCCCCAGGGCAGACCCAGAACACGCTGGAGGGATTACATATCTCGTCTGGCCAGGGAACACCTTGGGGTCCTCCAGGAGGAGATGGAAAGTGTTGCCTGGGAGAGGGATGTCTGGGGTGCTTTGCTAGGCCTGCTGGCCCCGCGACCAGGCCGCAGATAAGCGGATGAAAATGGATGGATGGAAGATTAAAAGTCTCTTTTTCAAGAGTGTCCTGGTTGAGACAGGCAGCAACAAAGAACAAAAATACAAAAAGAAAATGATGCAGCTCTAAATCATGCAATATAAAACACAAAATGAGATTACAACAAAGAAAAGCCAAAAAGTATGTTAATATATTCTATAAGTGAACCATAAAATACAAAAAAGCTCAACTACACATGATTGCAAAGACCAGCTAAGATACACCCTGACGCTGGCACATAGATGATTGTGTACAAACAAATAAAGTCCTTCTGCAGAAGATTCCACATACAAGGAGATGCATGCACAAATACTTGTGTGCCAAACTCTACATACCCTCCGTACAGACAATAAAAACATGTTCTGTGAATAGAAAGCAGAGCCATTTTCATTTTTTTGCTTAATGTACACACATGAATATGCTGGAAGTAGGACAAGAATAACTCTGTAAACAAGAGAATGCCAATGAAAAAGTCTATGAGATGTTAAAGAGAGCCACCCCAACCCGAGCATACAAGATAGATGAGTTTAGGCTTACAGTTGGTAATAAATCTCAATGTGTCCAGAGCATGCAAACACTGGGAGGGTGCATTCATATATAATACATCCCCATAATCAAGAGTAGTCAAGAATGTAGCAGTATATATATGTACCAGAAAAGGGTTACACAAATAACTGAATAAAGTTACAGCACTATGTTATGCAATAACAATTTGCAAATAGCAATTTCACTACCAACACAATCGCCAGAAAAAATGTTGGCATTGTACTTATCTGCAAACCATGGATATGTTACATTCACATGTTATTATGTAGGGAACACATTAAAACATTGCATTTCAAAAATGCTGTGGTTCATTTGTGGTTATGGTTAGGCACAAAAACCACTTGGTTATAGTGAGGAAAGATCAGATTTTGGTTTAAAATACCAGTTTTGCA